TAGGAGTGGCTTCTGGAGGGATTTTAACTCCTGACTCTAATGATTTTTTTTTAAGAAAACCAATGCCCTAAATGACTCAATTCTTAAGGAGTTCCTATTTTGACAATAGCATTAAGTTCTATCAGTGTCTGTCTTGGTTTTGTTGCATGACTGTGGCTAGAGGAGTATTTGGGAGTGCTGTTGAGAGACATGCAGTCTCTTTTGGATGCAATTACTGAAGCTAGTTTCCTTTAGTTATTGACAAGTGAAAAATAATTTGTGAATAGACAACATAATCGTCAGCTTTCCTTTTAAGCTACACTGCTTCAAAAGCAGGTGCCTGCTGTTGTGCCATGGTGAGAAAAAAATGCTTTGAAGGATTTAGGCCTAGTAATCTAGAATAGGTAAAGGGAAAAACAAGAACTTGTAGTCTGACTGGTGGGAAGACCCCATGTGACCACTGGTCAAGTGTCATCTCTGGCACGGTTGCAGAAAAGCTATCAAGTAAGGGTTGATGTGGTTAGGTAACACAAACACACTACTGGCTGATGTCTCAGCCAAAAGGTGCAACATGGGTGTGCAGGACAGTCCATGACCAACCTGTTTTTGCACTGCCTTAAAACAAATTAAAACCTTGTCTTAGAACTCTTTGGAAAACGGTTTTTCTTCCTGACTTTTGTGTGGCCTAATAGGGCTGGTGAAGCTGCAGCAGCCTGTGTGTCTCATGTGTGAATGTCAAAAAGTGGGCAAAGAAGGAAAATGCTGGGCGTTGGAAGAGACACTGACCCTCCTTTAAGAGCAGAGTGGTGCACAGATTAGGGCTGCAGTCTTGCAGGGAGAAGGAAAGGTGTTTTGTGCAAGAACTCTGACATGAGGCTACTTTAAACTTGAGCTTGTGGTTTTCATTGCCTGTCTCATGTAGCCCTGCTGCTGCTGTGCTTAGACAGTCTGGGGAAAGAAGAAAAGCTTTCCTTTTCTGAAACTTTGTTAAATGTCGTGGCTTGTAGTGACTGATTTCGTCATGCTTTCTCCTTTGTTCATGTGTGCTCCCACAGCTGACTGTGCTGTTGTGACTTGCAGTTGGAATTCTCTTATCTTCTGTCTAGAGGTGTCTGCAGGATTAAGCACCTGGGAAAGAATGCAGGGAACTGCTTGGATGTGGGAAATTACTAACCAGTTTGGTCTCTTCCCTAATTTTCCTTCTTCCCCTTACATCTTTCATGTGACAACACAGGAGAAACAAATTCTGGAGTTATGAGTTAATTTTGTAAACTGTTCTTTAAATCCATCTACGTTAAAAACAAAAGGAAGTTTGACAGTTTGAGTTCATCTACTATGCAATGTTGGGCAAGCTACTGTAAAACTTCCCCTCTAAAAAAATTTGCAGGAAATGTTTTAAGTTTGATGGCAAAACACTCTTGTGTGCTGCTGGGGTTCAGTGTTCACTTTAGTTTCAGTGTAGAAGCATGTGGTGAGCACAGAGAGGTGACCTCTAGGTGAACTTTCTCAGCTCTCTTAAGTGCTTTGGCATATTTAAGTGTGAGATGTCATAAATAAGTCACTGGTCTAATTTGAATATGTGCATGGTTGCTTCACGTGGCCAGGAAGCTGCCATTATAATGGCTTAAATATGATTTCTCAGCACATGAGCTTCCTATATCTCTTGTATACTTGAACTTCAAATTGCTCTCTCTTTTCTTAAGCATTCTGTAAGGTGAGGTAGTAGATGTGGTTTACATTCTAGCATGAAAGACCAAATGTGTTTTGGATGGAGAAAGCTGGACAGCTTGTGGTGTAACTGTAAGACTATTACACATCATGTGTGTGCAAGAGAACTTGCCTGAAGACATGCACTGTACATGATGGTTGGAGAAAATGGCAGGTAAGCTAGAGCAGCGCTCAGCATGAGTAGGGCATTAAAAAGCTCTTGAAGCATACCAATAACTTTGTACCTCGTGCCACTCAACCTCTCAGTTTCTATAAGGAGGACTTGTTTTGACATAGAAGTTTCTTTACCGTGCACAGTTGGGCTAAAATGTTAGTCGTGTCTAATAGTGATTTTTTGGCAACTAGGGTATCTGAGGTATCAGCCTCAAATTTGAAAATGGTCGTCTTGGAAATTGTTCCTGAGCGTCTCTGCCTGTGATCCCTTTGCGGTGTTCTGACAGCTGAGGAGCTGTTGGACACAAATTTGTGTGGATGCATGATCACATAGAGATGCTTTCCAACTCTGTGGGGTTGTCTGTGTAACACCCCTTCAGCAAAACGAGCCACTTCAGTGCCTTGCCCAGAGAGCAAAAGCATGTTTCTTTGTAACTGCACTTTACAGCTGTTCGGGGCTGGGTGTACTCTTCTTCCTAGCAATCATCCCTTGGATAAGATTGGGTAAGAGTCTGAGAAGCAAAAACTTGAGCATGGTTATGAGAATTAGAGCAATAGTCTTTCTGGTGCTGTGTGGCATTTGAAGTGGTTCACTAGTGCTCAAACCTCAGGGTGGCTCGTTTGCGGGGGCAAGTGTGCTGTGACAGCTGTTAGCCATCTGCACTGTGGCTGACTTCAGTGCCTGAGCTACTGATCTGCAAGGTAAACCAGACTCCTTAAAGCTCAGATCCCTTTTCCCTTTCTCATGTTATTTTTTTTGATGAGTTGCTTCTTTGCTTTGTCAAAAAAAAAAGCAGAGCTCTCGTTTGATCTTACAACTTGCCAAAAAGTAATTTAATTTTATTTTTCATGCTGTCACTCCAGTATCTTACAGCTAGGTAGCTGGAAAGGCTGACCTGTAGGCAGGCTTATTCCCTGTGACTTGTTTGGACTGTGCTGGCACAACTGCTTTCAACAGTGGCTGGCTGGCACTCCCTGTCTGCGTCTGCTGCTGTGTGGCCAGAAACCCCAGGGAGCCAGCCTGGGCACTGGCTGGGCTCGGTCCTCTCTCCACACGTGTGCCAGCACCTGTTGTTTTTGTTGAGTTAGTTCTGAGAGAGGCCAGTCCCTGAGTTCTGCTTCTGCCGGGTGCTGAGCCCACAGCGACACGCCGGGGAGGGGAGAGGCGAGGCGAGAGCCTGCTGTGGTGGAGATGAGGGTGATGTAGGTGTGTTTCAGGCTGTGGCATAGTCCACAACTGGGTTTATCTGGAAACATGTCATGTGATTTCAGCAAAAAACCCGTGTTTGACAGTTTTAATTGGGGCAGATGCCATGTTTGAGCCCAGATCTTGAGCTGCAACAGAAATGGCTGTTTGACGGGTGCCATCCATGAGGCAATGGCCGTACCGAGCCCCCCGGAGAGAGGGTGCGTTGCACCCCACCCCGTGACCAAGGCTGTTGCCTTTTAAAGCTGGTGATACGGCGGCTCCCTAAACTAGCTGAACTGGATTGAGTCTGGGATAGCTTAAACCCTTGAGCCAAGATTATGTGGGCTGGCCCCCGCGAGGGGGTTATTGCGGGAGGGCATCAGCACTGGCGGAGGTGATCGCCGAGCAGCGGCGGGAAGCTGCCCCCTGTGCCTCGGCCCTGCTCAGGACGGGCGGCGGCACTGCCAGCAGATTGTTTCCATTATGGGCCGCAGCAGAGACGTCAGCTTCTGTCCTATTGGAAAGTGGAGCACGTGGAACTTGAAACTATTCCCAGGCACTGCCTTAATGCCAGCAGTCTTGCTTGTGAGAGACAGACTTTTTGCTTATACTGTGAAAGTGTATTTTGCATCTCTGTGAGAACAGCTGCTTAGGCTGCATCTAGCCTGCTGTTACTCCCAGTGAATAAGTCCTGCCTTGCTCCTCCCACCTATTTAAAAAAACCCAAAAAAGTCCCTTGAACTTCCTTGAAAGTAATAATACTTTGAAACTGCATTGTATTTTTATATTTGTGTGTGACCGAAGTTGTGCTTTGGAATGTGATTGAATGTGGGATTTCTTAATTCCTTTCTGTGTACTGTTTTGAAGGACTCCTCAGCCTTCCGTTGTCCAGGGGCCCATGGTAGGGTGGAGGGAAGGGCTGGCTTCAGGGACCCCTTGCTTCTGGTCTGCAAGCTGTTCATCTTGTTTTTCTTTTGCTTCTGGCATGTGGGTGAACTCACTTGAAGATGTTGATTTGCTCTGTTTCATAACATGGCACAGGGAAAGCAAACCCCTTAATCTCTCAGAGTGATAATTCTGTTGTGTGGAGGACTTCGATTCTTGTTATATTAACAGATTTTAATTTGCAAGTTGTCTAAACAAAAACCCACCAAAATCTGCACTGAAAAACATTCTAGCTTGATTAAAAACTTCGTGACTTAGCGTTGTATGTTACCTTTTTTTTTGTCTTCCAAAAACAGTCAAGGAAAAAGTACTATGGGATTCCTTAGGGAATTTTTTGGTGAAACGCTAACTTTCTGGGGCTTCATTGTGAATAAATTGGGTTTTATTGAAATGCATTTTCTTCTGGAGGTAAAAACAGATTGTTCTTCATGTCTTGCTCTTTCAAGAGCCCTTGAAGGTAGAGTTGGGTTCTTGTAAATTTTTGTGTGTATGTGATTGTGTGTTGTTAAGCTTTCTTCCATTCCTGAACTTTGGTTATTCTGTACTGTAGATTAATGCACATCCGCATCCTGCATCGAGATTGTCTTTATCCACTTCAGAAATGCAGGAAACCAGCTCGGAGAACTCATCAGTACAATTGTAAAATGTCAGTTCTGTCTGCTTATGAGGAAAGAATAATGGCAACTATTTGCGTAGATCTGAGATGCAGTCCTTGCACCTGATGAAAAAGTAATTTTATTGGTGTTTTTGGTATGAGTTAGTACCTAGTAAGATTTTTCTTGAGCTTTGTGTTATATATGAGCCTTTATATGCCAATATACTGAGGTTATAAACTATTTTACAGTTTGCATAGAGAACTCTTGTAGTTGTCGCTAACTTATTCCAGCCATTAGCAGACTGAAATTAATATGGCTGCTGTAGTACAGGGAAGCCAAGAACCCTGTAGTCAGTAATTTAATGGAAAATTGTGTGGCATCTTACTGCTGGCTCTTTGATTAGAGAGAGAATGCATTGGATTTGGGAGTTCTTGGAGGATTCAAAATCGAGTAAAGTGGCTGAACTGCCGTGCCCCTTCCTCACTCAAGGATTTGGCTTCAAAGTGGAACAAGAATGGGTTCTTCTGGGGGATCGAGGGTATGATGTCAAGTGATGTAACACCTATGAGCTAGAAATTGAGGCAAACAACCTTAGGGGGAAGCTTCTGGTCAACTTCTAATTTCTCAAGAGCTGAGATGGGAGAGCTGAACTCCCTCGCTGGATTTGGAACTGATCTGTAGATTAAGACATGTGCTTCTAGAGGTGAGATAGGTGCATTGAACACTGTGTGAGTCATAAATAACAGGAATACCTGTTAAGTCACTGTGCTGTCATCTGTTTTCTGAGATGATGACTCTGTATTAAATCCTACTGAAATTTCCACTTGGGATTGAAGGGAAGCTGGGGAATTTCTTAGGTTGCAAAAATCAATACTATCCAGAGGATGCGGACTGCTGCCAGTACCAGAAGAGGTACAGCTGAGCCAGGCTGGTGACTAGTGTTTACTGAGCTGTGCATTTTTAACAGAGCTGGGGCACAGCACTGTGCTAGTCAGCCAGGCTGTCTAAAGAGCTCCTGACTCCAAATTAGCTGACCTGGGTCTGCCTCGAAACTGGGTGGTGCTGTCATGTGCATCTCACTGCAGTCTTAATGCATGCTATGAGGGAAAAGAATTCTTGGCTCTGCCTCTCAACTACACCACTTTTTTTTTTCTTGTTCTGTTACTCTGATTTATTCCCCATTGTATTTAGCCAGAGCTTCATGTTCCTTTATCAGCTTTTAGACAGTTGACTTTCTGATATGGCTGTAATGAGCTAGTGTGATCTTTCACTGAGTCTCTTGTGGATATCTCTGCCTAGTTTTCAGCTTCAGAAACTGTCCTCTATATATATATATATATATATATAAAATGTATAAAGGTGAAGCTAAGCCTTAGCAAGCATTATCAGCATCTTTCATTCTGAATGCTGTGAGAATCTAAACCTCAGTTTTGACCCTGAAGCTGAGTGGCTCTGCTGCGGGCAGGGAGGATGAGACTGGCTGCTCTGTTCCACTTAGCACTTCTGCTGCTGGGTATTGCTGAAGTGCCATAGAGTCCAGCGTGCCAAAGCTTATCAGGCTCTCAGGGGAAACCCATTCACCACCTGCGGTATACCTTGTCAGAGTGACCTTCACAGTGATTTGATGAAGAAGAATAGGCAGTTGGATGTTCAAGAAAGGGGAAAATGAACTTGATTATGTGCTCCTCAGGTGGTTAAATCTGTTTTGTTCTTGCCACCAACACAATAACAATATTCTTGTATTTATGGATATAAAACACGAGTATGAAACTTGAGTTACTGCTGCCCGTAGCTTTATAATTTGGTTATTTCAAGAACTGGTGCCTAGATGATGGCAGTGCAGACAATATGAATGCAAACTGATGGAGTTTTGTTTTTCTTTTTTTTCCTTTTCAGTTACACGTGGGAAGCAGTTGATGTGGACAAAAAAGTGCTTTATAAAATAAACCTATGTTTTGGTATTCAAGAGTGTGGAAAATCAAGTGCAGTCTGTGCATACAACTTCATTAACAAGACCTATCTGTCTGTAGGTAAGTAAACAACTGTCTTTCCTCATAAGTAGTTCAGAGTAATGGTAGTGGATGATCTTAGAACCATTACAAACTTTGGCATGTTAGCAAAGTTTTTTTTTTTTTATTCTTGAAACAGTGTAAAACTTGATTCTGTTGTAGACTTCCAAGGGAGATCTGGGAAATTGTGATCTGATGGCAGGTAATTGGTTCACAGGACATAGAAACTTGTCTTATGGTCTAGTTAACTGTAATCTAGTGTGAAACTATGGAAGGCAATCTCAAGTAGAAAGGAGTGCATCTGCCTGTGACAGGGTGTGCACTGTGCACAGCCGTATTTGCAACTTGATGCTGAACACATGTTAAAGCTTGAGTTACAGCTCTAAATTATATGGCAACTTAGCCTGATGTAACATCAGCTCTTTGTTCAGCTGATGTTCAGCTTTGTTCAACTTGAGTCAAGTTACTCTCTGTAATGCAATCTTGGAGTATTGCTGAGCTTCTGGGATGTTGTCTTTAAGTTATTACCACAGAAAGGAAGTCAATTACATGCAGTCCTCTGTTTTCAGTTACACTTGTCAAATTAAGTGGCTGCTTCAGTAGTTCACAGGGGTCCTTGGTATTCTAAGGAGTGGTGCAGTTCTGTGTGCTAATCTAAATATGAAAGCTTGTGTGTTCCTGTGTACATGCCTGCCTGTGACTTCATCAGTCATAAGCATCTTGTGCTGTGTGGTTATTTTCATGGATGCTTGTCACTTTCAAGGATGCTTTTGTGCTTCAGCTGATGAAACAATAATAGATTAAACAATAATATATGGTAAAAACTGGTGAAGAGGTTTTCTGATAGCTGACTGTTACTTCTAGTAGAATAAAGTAATAGCTTTCTGTAGGGTAATATCTCTTCAGTTTGCCTCTTAGTACATACAGATCTGGAGTCTGAATTTAACATGCTTGCCAATCTTGCCTTTCATTGGCAGACAGCTTTCAGGAGAAGCTTTGAGTCTTCAGTAAAAGCATTTGAGCTTGAACTGCTGGAAGATGGTGAGGAGGAGGAAGATGATTCTCACCCGTATGCAGATGCACAGAGGCTAGTTGGCCTACTCCCCACTCCCCTCCATTAGCTGTAGAGATACTTTGGTTTCAGGCTGTGGTAAATCAGTGCTTTTCAAACAAACTGCTAGTGTTGTGACTCAAGCTTATAAAATCACTGGGTACATGAACAAAAGTATATCTCAGTTCATGGCTGCATGGATTTTTTTTATGTAGTGCAGTATATCCAAACTCCAGAGTTTTCTGGGATGACTGGCATTTGAGTTCAAGCTGCAGTTGCATGTAGTAGCATCTCCCACTCTGAGGAGTGTGACATCTCAAACCATTTGATGCTGTTAATGTACAGCAAGCATTTTGTTTGCTGCTGATGTGGGTTTCAACTCATGCAGCTGAAGCTTCAGTTGCCTGTGGATTAGAAAAAGAAGCAGCATCTGGGCATCTGTTTTAACATGCTTTTTTTTGCATGAGACTGGAATGTGGCAGGTTGAGTGAGCTTGAGGAAGCCTCTGCTCCCCAGAGAAGTGTGAGGCTTAGAAGCTTGTGCAGGTTTTGGTCTATGCTTCTTGTGGAAAGAGGAAGGGAGAACAGAGCTGGGTGGTGACCATGAGTAGTATCAAATGTTCCGCTGCATGCAAACCTTGAGTGTCAAATTGCCTGACTGCTGCTGGATTGGAGAGGATTTGGCAGCAGTCACAACTGGGTCTTGCAGAGGCAATTTGAACTGACTCTAGAGAGTTAAGTCATAAATCCTGTTCGAGAAAGATATGTTTTTAACCACCCTGCAATATATTAAGAGATCATAGAATTGTTCTGGTTGGAAGAGCCCTTCAAGATCATCAGGTCCAACTGGTAACTCAGCACTGCCAGCTTGCCACTATACCATGTCCCTAAGCACCCTATCTACGTGACTTATAAATACCTCCAGGGATAGTAACTCCACCACTTCCCTGGGCGGCCTGTTCCAGTGCTTTACGACTCCTTTGGTAAATGAATTTTTCCTAACATCCAACCTAAACTTCCCCTGGCACAGCTTGAGGCAGTTTTCTCTTGTCCTATCACTTGTTACTTGTGAGAGAAGACCTGCACCCGCTTCTCCACAACCTCCTTTCAGGTAGTTGTAGAGAGTGATAAGGTGTCCCCCGAGTCTCCTTTTCTCCAGGCTAAACAACCCCAGTTCCCTCAGCTGCTCCTCATAAGACTTGTGCTCTAGGCCCTTCAACAGCTTTGTTGCCCTTCGTTGGACACACTCCAGCACCTCAATGTCCTTCTTGTAGTGAGGAGCCCAGAACTGAACCAGTGTTCAAGGTGGGATGATCACTTCCCTACTCCTGCTGGCCACACTGTTTCTGATACAAGCCAGGATGCTTTTGGCTTTCTTGGCCACCTGGGCACTCTGCTGATTTGTATTCAGGTGTCTGTTGACCAGAACCCCCAGGTCAAGGCAGTGCAATTAACATCAACATTGAATTTTGCTTTGTTTTATTGGTCAAATTGTCTAAGTTTTGGTGTTGTTCATGGTTAGTCTGACAGTTAGTGATTGTTGGCAATACCTGCCATGCTTCATTGCCTCTAGCTGCATTGCAGTTTCCTCACCATCACACTGGGCTGAGAACATGCCAGTGGCTTATCAAGCTTCTTGCTTGTCAGAAAAAAACTTCTACTGAGACAAGAATTTCTTTGATGCAGGTCTACTAGGCAGGTGTAGACTCCCAGTATAGTTCCAGTTACCTAAAGCAGCCAAGCTGCATAGTTGTCTTCATGCAATCCATCTGACAGGATATAATTTGTATTCAAAAGCTGAGTGCAGCTGAAGGCCTTTGATTTGGGAGAAGTACAATTTGCCAGCTGATAAACTTTGTTTATAAGTTATAAGCTTTCTTCAGATATGGTCTTAATCGGATCTCACCTTAGTTCTTGCAGAAGCAAGTTCTCACTGCAAACAATAGTTTTGTCTTTATCAGTTGTGGAAGGGCTGACGGCTGTAGGGTTGGCTCTGTTTGTTGCTCTCAGGTTTGGTAGGTGGTAAAGCCATATGGTCTGTGACGGTAATCAGTCTGTGTCCAAGGGAGGGCTTGGGACTGACATTAACTGTGTGTCAGTGTGACATACCTGGGTAGGTGCTGAGACCCCCAAAGACCTCTCCTAGGAAAAGCTCTTCAGCTTCATTCATCGACCTTAGAAGTTTTCAAGGTGTAGGCAAATGCTTAGCTCTTGAACATCAGCAAGGATGGAAATGATGTGGTGGTTATTTAACTTAGTGTGACACCTAGTGACTCCTGTGCCATTTATAGCTGGACTACTGCTAAAACTGAAAGCAGAAATATTATCATAACTGTTTGTTAACCTAAGTGGTGAAATGTGCACTTTGTCCAGCTGCAGTGGAAGGACTGGATGTGGTATGATAGCTGCCACCTAAATGCCGCCTCCTTCTGGACAACTGATTGGATGTCTTCTACGATTGCCTTTCTCCTTCCGAACAGCTGAACAGATAAATGAAGGAGTCAATGAGCAAAAGTTGTGTACAGTGCCTTTGATACTGATTTAACACAACCATGTAATCTGTACTAGTTGATTTGTAGCATGTTACTGTGTAGAAGGAGCACATCTGTAAAGTCATGAAGAAATACGAGGGATCACTGAAGAGGGAGCTTGACATTACGGTAAAGGTAGTTGCAGAATTGATGGTCTGGAAGGAAGCTCATGAGAAGCTGATGGCATGAGAGGGTGGTTTATGAGACTGCTTGCTCTGTGATCAGGGATGGGGCAAGTCATATGCCGCAGAAGAGATTCTTGCCAAAACTTTTACCAAGTTCCCAAACTAGTTCTAAGCATGCCGGGGGGAAGAATGTGCATGTTGGCCTGTAGTAAACAGGATGTACTGGCTTAACCTGATTTTTCTCCACTATCACTCCAACCGAGGAAATTGCACTAAAGGCACCTGTGAACTGACTGCAGTCTAGTGTGTTCTTAGAACTGAGGGAAAACTAATGCTTTCAGAACATTGAGTTAAGTCCTTAGATGGTGGTGCCATAAGTTCTCTGCTTACTTGGTGCTTATAACTGTATTCATACATTTATAACTGAAGAGTTTTTAATTGTGTGCATATTGTTACTATACACAGCTCTTGCCTAGAAAGTTGTGTTGTCTTCCTCCTGCCAATCTAGGGAAGAAGAGAGGACACTTTGCCAGGATATTCTAAGCAACGATGTGATAAGTAGCACTAGGTTTCAGAGAGCTGCATGGCACCTTTTCCAGCACTGTTGCTGGAAGTCTTAAAAGTTGAAGATGGCCTTTTCATAACAAGAGTGTCAGGAAGTGTAAAAGGCAGGAGCCACTGACAGCCTTCAGGGGCCTGGAATGTGGTGCTGGACTGCAGTGGTGGTAACGGGCTTCACTGTTGGAAGTTCTCAGCCTGACAGGTATCCTGTGCATGCACAGGTTTAGTCTGTGCTTCTGTTCTTCTGTGCTGAGGTGTCTCCACTCTTCCCTTCACTTGAAGGCAGAGGGTTACTGAATGGCCTGTGACACTTGTCACCTTGGTTCCACAGGGAATGCTGTGAATGGCTGCTTAGGTATCAGCATCTTAATCTGCCTCCCTCTTGCATGGTTAGTGTGAGCATATAGTGTGAGTAGCAGAGCCCTGGGCTACAAAGGGGAAGCTGTGTGGGTTAGCATCAAGCTTCTATTGATTGCCACTGTTTCAGCTTTACCTGCAAGTTTGGTGGCTATAGTTACTTTCTCTCTGCTGCAGTTCAGCAGAACATTTTTGAGGTTCTTGTACCCTCTTCCTGCCCAGTTCACTTCTGCTCCTTCTGCTCTCAAGACTGTGTTACTTGGGTATAGTATAGTTTTATGTGCCTTGAGGGAGGAGATAACAGTCTGGGCAAAGTTCCAGCAAGTGTTTTTAAGATGAAAACTCTCTGGAGCTTTCAGCACAGAAAAGACGTGAATCTGTTGGAGCTGGTCCAGAGGAAGTCCACAAAATTTATCTGGGGTCTGGAACACCTCTCCTGTGAGGACAGGATGAGAGAATTGGGGTTGTTCAGCTTGGAGATGAGAAGTTTCTGGGGAGACCTTATGGTGACCTTTCAGTACTTAAAAGGGGTTATTAGAAAGACGGGGATAGTCTTTTTAGTAGGGCTTGTTGTGACAGAACAAGGGATAATGGTTTTTAACTAGAAGAGGGTAGATTTAGGTTGGACATAAGATTTTTTTTTTTTTTTATGAGGGTGATGAAATACTGGTACAGGTTGCCCAGGGAAGTGGTAGGTCCCCCATCCTTGGAAACATTCAAGGTTAGATCGGACAGGGCATGGACCAACCTGGTCTAGTTGATGTCCCTGGTCATTGCAGGGGAGTTGGACTAGGTGACCTTTAGAGGACCCTTCCATCCCAAACCATTGTATGGTTCTATGATATACTCTCATATTGTGCTGTTACTGTTTGTATAAATGGCATAAAGACTGAGGAGCTAAGAAATAGAAACTGGTGGGAGGGAGAAGTGAATTGTGGTACTTGAAACCGGTTGGTAATGGTTTTCTGATGCAGTCCTTCAGCCCTTGTTCCTAAGGCAGGTGGTAGTTTGTAGTGGCATCTGCTGTTGGGTTTCTTAAAATTCAAAGTGTTTGCTGAAAACCTCGGAGAAAGTATATACATGATTAAAGATATCAAACTTGGATCTAGTTTGATGTCAAGAACCACAAGGAAGGTCTTCAGTAGTACGTTGTTCAAAGACTGTCTTCAAGTTGACTGATGTCTTGTGCTGCTCTGTGCTTGAAATTGGAGCATGTTGGTTGAGGTTCTGTGAAGGTGCTGCGTTATAAGCCCCCCCCAAACCACGCCCCCCTTTTTTTTTTTTAACCCTAGGTGACTTACACTTGAAAAGAGTTTCTGAAACTCTTCTGGAACTCAACACTACAGATACCTGTTTGCAGCAAGACAGTCATCACCAAATTCAAAGCAACATTAATTTCTTGTGTGGGAAAACACTGGTAAGTCTAAATCACGTCTTCTTACGTTCTATGGAAATGGCTTGTAATTCTGATTTGCTTTTTAAGGAAACTTGCTGTTCTTGTGGATGTACTAATTACTGAGCTTCATAGCCTCAGGAAGAGCCAGTTATGTTTTGGTACCAAGTTAAGGTCATGATCTACTGTGGCTTTCAAAGGTAGAAAATAATTGCAGATATGCAGCTTGACGCTGATCACGGCTCTTCTGGGTCTGTAATGTTTTTTGCAGGGATTGCACTGTAGCATTTTAATGGTGTAATATGAAGGAATGAGTCAACAATGTACAGGGTGCTGTAACAATGAGAGCTCCTGTTTAAATGTCAGCTGTGCCAAAGCTGTGGTCCTAGCATGAATGATTGACTTCTGTTATGGGTCATAACGGACAGCAGTAAGCGTTAAGGTTTTGTCTGCACATAGTTCAACTGAAGGTGCTTACATGCTCATCTGGGCTTCTGGGAGAGTAGTTGTTTGTAAACGTTTGTAAAATGTGCAGATGGAGATCCCCAAAAAGTTCCTAGGGGTGTGTGTGTGTGTACACAGTTTATCTCCACATGCTTTTGGAGTTACACCTTGGAGTGCTGCTGTTGGCACTGATGATGCTGTTGCACAGCTCCGCTTGGAAGTCTAGCCAATTCAGAGTGCCAGTGCAGCAGGGATTTAAATGCTTCCTTTTCTGTTTCAGCAGATGACTCTTTAAACTAAATTAGAAATCATTGTTCAAACTGCAGCTGTAACACCAGATGATAATGATCTTCAAACTTCTAGTTAGTGTGGTTCTAATACCTATTCTTCATGTGACCTAGTAAAAGGATTTTGTAATCATGTCTGGAACAACTTGTTTCCAGCACTTTTATGGCAGAGTTAAACAGGGAGGGAATCAGTTTAAGTATGCCAAAGTGCTTCTAGCTACGGTAATGGAGAGAGAATAGAAAAATCTGATTGTTCTCTTTTTCCAAGTAGAGACATTCATGAAGATCCAGCCCTGAACTGTGGTGGAAACCCCATCTTGAAATAGATACAAATGTGTATAACATGATCCCATAAAAACAAGTATCTGAGATCAGAGGTGGTATTTCTGTGTAGCAAAAGAAACTGCTAATCAGTTGTGTTTTTTTTTTTTTTTTAGGATAAAAGATAGAGAACTGGTAAACCATGCATTACTTTGCTCTTCATCTATTTATACATACTTGTATTGGTGTTTTCCTTTCTAGCAACTAGATGTGATTGGTTCTGCCAATATTAGGTGGCATAGTGAGTGATTCTAAAAGATGCAGTACAATTCCTGGATGCTAGGATTGGCATGTGTTGACTCAGGAAGATGCAGGGTGTCAAATCCTTCTGAGTTTACCAATAAAACTGTTAAATAGCACTCGTTTACAGGAAGTTTGCTATTAGGAAACTATATGCCCTTGTTCTGTGACATGCTGTATTCTGTTTTTCTTTAATCTCTTGAATGAACTTCTTGCTCTCTGCAGATGTCAAGTGAAATGGAAGTACGTTTTTCAAAGAATTATGTTTTTCCCCTCTAAATAGGGTACCCCTGAATTTGTAACAGCAACAGAGTGTGTGCACTATTTTGAATGGAGGACCTTTGTGGCTTGCAAGAAAGACTTATTTAAACCTGTGAAAGAGGTAATCTGTCTACTATCCATGCCAAAGTTACTCTACACACATCTGGCAATTAACCTGCCCAACAGCCTCCATAAACCTAACCCTTTCAAAGGCATATGAAGCATCTGTTGGAAGATGGTGGAGCTGAGAATTTAACATAACTCCTCAATCTCTTTTGTGATCTGGATGGTTGTTCATAGTAAAATGCTTTTAAAAGCTAGAGTAGAGAGGTCTAACTTTGTATGCCTCATTTTAGTCAGCATGTCTAGCTTTAAGTAGTTGAGCTTTCAGAAGTGAAAACCTTTTCCACATACTAGTGTGTCTTTATATATGCCTGTTGGTAACTTCTCTGTACTTGTGTAGCATGGGTTGCATGTAATTTTTTTTTTTGTTCTTGTTTTTTTTTGTTCTTGTTTGATGTTGTTCTAGGTCCCTTGCTATGTGTTTGAAGATTTGAAGAAGCACGACCTGAATCCTCTCATCCAAGTTTCAGGACACTACTTGGTGGATGATTCTGACGATGATTCCTTGTTCATAAATGTCTGCAGGGATTTAGGTGTGAGCACTTGCTTGTGTCACCTGACAGTGTATAACAGTGTGGTTCTTTTCCAGTGCCACAGTTAAGGGTGTCCTGTGACCCAAAATCAGTATTTTAGAATTCGTCAAAAATAGCTTGAAACAATAGTACAATTTAAAGGCTGCTTTCTGTGAAGCCAAATCTTGCTCTCAGACTGTTCAGGTGTTTAGAAATGGGTGTTCTGGATGGGCAAGTACTGATAGAAAGGTTGCCTTAAACTGGACTTATTAGAAGAGCTCAGTTTGTCTTGTAGCTACTTCTGTCTGCTGCCAAATAGGATCAAGATGGTTCATAGGACTTCATGTGTTTGGAATTTATTACTTTAGACTCCAGGCTGTTGCTTAGTTCCAAGTGAATGTCCTGAGTTGCATATAAAAGAAGATTTAGGTGCTTGAGTAAGTAATGGTACATAGCTAGCACTTTCACATCAGTTGGGAGCTGTATATGTAGGGAATTAAATGAGCAAAATCACTCACTTGAAACTTTCTGAAAAGGCTAGTTTAGCTCTTTACTCTGTTTGTGTCTTTTACTCTGCAGTTAAATATGTATTTTGTGCCCCTGTTAGGAGTTTAATACTTCTAGTTTTAGTGATGGGTCTACTCTGAAACTTTTTGCTGACAGCTTTGAGTAAGCTGGTTTATAGGAAACAAAAGAGGGGAAAAACCCTTCCCTGTGATGAGAGGTTACCCATTACTTGGTATCAGTTTGGTATGGTGGGGGGAAAAAAACCCAACTACTTGGCACACTTCAAGAAATTCTCAAAGCTCTATGCGTTGGGGAGCTGTACTAGCAACTGGTAGTAAGCTGCAGCTACTTTGGAAGAAAGAAGTAGTTTGCTACTTGAAAACAGGACAGCATAAAGTATTAAAAGTATCAATTTAGGTTTTGTCTTGTTTCACATTTTAATGTAACCTGTTTTAAGGGTATTTTTAGAAAAGGGCAAAGCCATGCTATAGATAGAACAGCAAGATACTTCAGGTAGAGCAGAGCTTAGAAACTCAGTCCTGTATTCTATTTTTTATATTTTACAGGAAGTTCAAGTGAAGAGACCAGAAACTGCCCTGCTGGCAGTGCTGCTTGCTTGTTACACAAAGGCCAGGCATATGACGTTGGCCATCCACAGGAACAGCTGAAACTTCATGACAAAGACAGGTATATAATTTTATGTTGATAGTTCTGTGAATGCTTCTTGGTCATCTGGGCTGGAAAAAAAAGTTGTAATAACAGATGAGTCTTCTAAAACTTAACCTTGATGCCACTCAGTTTTGAAGCATTGGCAGAAAACTTCTCTAAATACTGGCAGGGCAGAGTCTTTCAGGCATTCTGTTGTACTGCCATAACAGATCAAATTTTCTTCTTCCTTGTGAGAGATTCCTTACAGAATTGCAAACTCTTAGAAGCAAGGAATGATTGTTGCTCTCTGCCCACAAACAGAAAAGTGAGATTTGACCCCCTCTGCCTCCTGTCTGAGGGCCCATAGGGTAAATGTGGTTGGCTTGCTGTGGCCTTATCCTTTGTATTTAGCTTACTCTACTGCCCAGGAGTACTTTAAAGGTTGAAAATAGGGCCAGATGTTGCCCTTCTGCATTCATGTGTTAATGAGTTCTTAACAGAAGAAACAGATAAGCAATGCAAGGCTTATTGTTCCTGGTGGTGGCAGAGGTGGGACTAGGAGAAACTGTTTCCTTGATGTTGCCTATGTTCTGTTTGCTGCCTTTTTGTAGGAAGTGTAGCTTGAAAGAAGAAAACAACAAAAACAAACCTCAAAACTAACCAAACAAAAACCAACAAAACCCCCCCAACAAAAGAAAACAAAAAGCCACAAAAATAGAAATGAACAGACTCACCAAAAAAAACACCCAAGCAACACAGTGTGGCTCAGAGTACTTAACATGCTGATCTTTCTGAGCTTCAGATCATCTGAGCCTGCTTACCTTGTCTGTTGGGTGAATGGTACACTCTTTACTTCTGCAGTACTGTTTTGTTTTTGTTTTTTTTTTTAATCTTGGATGCAAGCTGAAGAGAACAAGCAGAGTAAACCAGGTTAATGACAGGGAGGACAAAGGTTCTGCCCCATCAGTGATAAGGTTAAGGGTTTTCTCTTGAGTTTACAGATCAAGTTGTTAGTTCTTTGCAGGGCTCTTCCACCAGCATGAAACAAGTGGCTGAGGTGTTTTGTACCAAGGCAGAAGCCACAAGCTTGTTCTCTTATTGAAGTGCAACTAGTACTCTATAGAAGTGCTTGGCAAGAAAGATTTTTCTCATCCCTGCTAGGATTGAAGAGCTGTTCATTGCTTGAGGAAAATTCATTATATGTTCTCAGTCAGACTAGGGTGGCCTGAGAAGGGAATAGGGGTGATTGTGTATCTGTCCTAGGGTATAGAGAGGCCAGTTAGAGGTGTGACTAACCTGAAGCCAAACTGTCACCCTTCTGTGAGCTGTTGTCTTCTGCCTATTAGACTGCATAGAGCAGTAAATGCTTAGCTGAGAATTCATGTTAATCTCCTTATTCTCTCATCCAAGTCATCTTGCCAGATAGTGACCATGTTTCATTCTCCTACTCCTGCCGCATCTGATCTGTCCCAGTTGCCTTGCTCCTTTCAGTTTGCTTATGAGTGAGTTGATTTTACTCTTAATTCTGGGGGCAGATTGGAAAGAAATTATGCATAGAGAGATAGTGAAGTATGGAAGTGTGGTAACACATACGAGTGGCTATTACTTCCAAAAGTTGTGAGTGTGTTTATCATGTCTGCTCTCCAGCATTTTGAGAGCAAAGCCGAGAATGTTGTGACTTTCAACAAAGCACTCACTCCAGCACAGCTTACAAGACATTCAGCATAGGCTTAACTAGGGTGCAAGAGGATGCTGTGTTAAGCAACTTTGCTGGGACTGTTTTAATCTTTATTTTGGTTAAATCTAAGATTAAAGAAATACATAGTAAAAGTTACTTTCAGGAGCAGGGCTAGGCTAGTGTATTTTGCTTGAGTATCTAGCAAAGAGTGGATGTTCTTTCCAGATTATCCTTCTTACAGACTATAGTGTCTTAAGTGTATTTTTGGTTTGCTATTTTCTGTTTCTAGGCTGGTATTGAGTTATGAGAAAATATATAGTGATGAAGAAAAACCAGACTTCTGCCTAGGCCATAACCCAGCAGTGACGATCACTTTTGTTTGCCCATCAAAGAGAGGAGAAGAGGTAACTTTGCTGTTTTAGTTTGTGTTGAATGGTTGATCTTTAACTTTTGCGTGCATTACCTTTCATTTTAATTCAGAACTGAAGAGAAGTTATTCTGGTTCACAGCTTATGAAGAGTGTGAGATCCTAAGTAAACTCTTCAAAAGGTCTTCTAGAACTTAAGATATAAAAAAAAACTGAATAAAGTCTTCCCAGGGTTGTATTCTTTCTTGTCCTGGTGAATTTAGTTGTCCTTACCTGGGTCAAAGCTTGCTTCTGAGAATGGGATGGAGTTAGTATAGTGTTAGTCCTTGGCACAGAGCTTTGCTTGCTAAGGAGCACTCTTCCATCATAAGCCAGACTTGGAATGCTTATTGCTGTTGCCTGTAATGTGTTTCTTTATTAATCTGTCCTTCTTCATGAGAGAGCTAGCAAATATTGTTGCATGGCAAAGGTCTGTCACTTACCAAGCAGACTCCTGAATTCCTTTTAACTTGAAGCAAAATCTTTAGTATTAGGCAGCATCTTAGTTTTGGCAGGACACAGTTTTAGCCTGGGTAATCTCAGCAACCTGCACTCCCTGCACTTGGGCCAGCATGGCTATTGCTCATGCTCTGACATTTCATATTGTGGTGCTTTTGGTTGCAGGTTAGTAAAGAAGACCTCGTCTGCTTAATTTTTGGTTTAATGTTTTATCCCTCCTCTGACCTAGATAGGTACCACTTATCCACCTATAGGTACTCCACCCTCATTGCTCCAGAAACAAACCATATGCTTTCCTCACTGGAGCTATGCACACTTCTAGTGTGAGTGGTGTTTACTGATGTTACCTGTGCTTCTAACTGAACTAGTACTTACTGCGTATCTGCCTGTTTTAGTGGATGGCAGAAATACAGATTTATGAAAAAGTGGATTTCTAGATGTTTCAGTTTAAAGGGGGGAAAAATCAAGACTACCCCTCTCTCAGAGGTGCAAAAATATTTCACTACAGAAAACACATCTGATGGAAGTGTTGGCTGAAGAATTCTCAGACATCTTTCAGTCTTGATTTGGACTGAGGGAACCGAAGTTGCTAAAACACCAGTGTCTAAGCAGCTGCTTTGCCTTCAGAGAAGTCTCTGCTTAGCTCTGAGGAATTCAGAAGCAGTTGCAATCCAAGCTGTGCTTAGCAATGTGGACTCACATACTCTGCTTTTACCAACGTGTGAAGGAAAAGTCCTTTTATATGTGCTATAATGTCTGCTGTCCTGCCAATGCCTGATACTTTATCTCTGTTTAGACTTCTAATAATTTGCCATGTCATTAACAAGAGTTATTTTATTTCTTCTCAACACCTGCTTCTGAGAGGCTATCTCTTAAGCAATTTACAGGTGAAGTTAGTCATTACTGACCCTAAGGGAGTGTGATACTGTTGCTTTAAAGATTATACTTCCAATAAGTCTCTACTTGTAATTTAAATTCTGTTCACTTCTGTCTCAGAGTGCAGGTCCCAAACTCACAGCAAAAACCAATTGCCGGTATGAAATTGAGTGGGCTACTGAGTATGCGTGTCACAGGGATTACCTGGAGAGTAAGAACTGTCTTCTGACTAATGAGCAACATGACATCTCCATTGATTTAAGGCCACTTGTTCAATTGCCAAGTAAGCTCACTATTTTTCGTTTGTGGTGTCACTGGCAATTTTTCCAACTCCATGTTTGGAGACAGGAAAAACGTCCTCTGTAGATACTTGGGTTTTTACATCTGTTTGGCTGTGCTAGAACACTTTTCCTTTTGTTATTCAGATTATGTCACACCATATGAAGCCAAAGATGCCAAAGGGGAGTATTACTATTACTTGAATATATGTGGGAAAACCACTGCAGGTAACTGCAAGGACAGCACAGGGTATGCTTCATCTTGCCAAGTAAAGCTGTCGAGTAACCAGCAAAAAGTGGCAGGAAGATTTCAGAACCAAACCCTAAGGTGTGTAAAGTCTCTTTAGCCCTGCTAACTAGTCTGATTGGTCTTTATTTTCTACTTTAATGCCCTTATTTGTCATGTAAGCAATATTTGATACAAAATGCAAGTAGTTTTACTCGTTTTTTTATAGGAAAACTTAGTAGTATAATGGGATAGCATTAGCAAACAAAAGGAGCAGATGAGGTTACTAGAGGCCATTGCCTAGACAGGGAGGAAACCTTCATGGACTTCCATGTCAGAATTGCAGACTGTGCTGTGCTGCCTCTAGTGCTCTTTGAGTTTTGCATGTAAAGGAGCATCAGGTTCAGATGTGTTGGAAGCTGTCCTCAACAAGAGGGAATCTCTGCTGCCTTTGCAAGACCATACATTAATCATAACCAAGACTACTGAGGTCCAGGATTTTATGATTTAAAAAATATTTTTTTTAAGAACTTCAGGATTTCCAAGCAGCATATGGGGGCAATAGTTTGGATGAGATTGCAATGCAGAGATCATTCACCTACATATGATTTTCCATTTTGTCTGTGAGCACATGACAGACTTGTTGGAATGATCTTCCAGGAAGTATGACTTCCTCCACCTGCAAAAATAGCCATGCAGTAAAGTAATGGGAACAGATATTCCACCAAGCTAGAATAGCTTTAAAGTGTTCTTTAAACTCTATACAAATTGATGAGGAGTAACCAGAAAAATCAGTGGATACAAGCCTTTGTTTCAGTGGAAATGTCAGTGTTTGTTGAACAAACATTTTGTTTCACTCTGAGGGAGACAAACAAACAAGAGTGTGGTTTCTGTTATGTGAAGAATACTGTGTGATTGTGTCTGACCCTACGTTTCTCTCTAAAATTGACTTTTTACTCAGATACTCTGATGGAGATCTCACTTTAATTTATCCAGATGGGGATGCCTGTAGTTCTGGCTTTCAGAGAATGACTGTCATAAACTTTGAGTGCAATGAAACAGCAGGTGAGCTTAATAAACTCTTAACTCTGCTCAGGGTTTGCCTTCTGTGCTTTCTAGTAGACTTTATGTTCAAAGGGATGCATGCTTTGAGCCACAGCTAACACAAGGAATAAATATTGTTAGAGTAAGCACTGATTTCTATGCCTGGCAGGATTATTTTATTCTGTGTAGTAGCACTACTGTTTTAAATTTACACTGATCAAGAATACTGAGATATAAAAGAGCCTCATTTCTTAGCCAACAGTAAAAAAAAAAAAAAGTACAAAACCAAACCAAAAACCAACCCCCCATAAACTAACAAAAGACCCCACCAAACCAAATTAGAAGTGCAAGTCTTGTGGAGCAAAAGGGTTTTTATCTTCCTTGCTCATTGCTAGTCCTCAAGTCTCCTTGCTTTTTTTCCCTTCCCCCACTGGAAACCTAACAGCTGTTTATCATCCATATTAAGGTAATGATGGCAGAGGATCTCCAGTGTTTACTGGTGAAGTGGACTGCACCTATTTATTTACCTGGGATACAAAATATGCATGTGTTAAAGAGAAAGAAGATCTCCTTTGCAGAGTTACTGATAAAAGAAAGCACTATGACTTGTCACCTCTGATCCGCAGTTCAGGTATGGCAATGAAAACTAGCTTTCAATTACTTTTGTCTTGAGTTTACATGCTGTCTCTAGTGCAATTCTATAGCTGAACATTATCAGCTTTTGCTTTTCTTAGTGAATTTCTAGGGTACTGGTTTTCACTTCCCTCCTTCCAAAAGGAGTTATGGAACTCCCTATGGAAAAGGGGCCTTATGAAAGCAGCCTTATCCATGACTGCTGTGGTTGCTGTCATCTGAAGTGGTTTTAAACATGGGTCCTTTTTTTTGAGATAAAAGGCATTTTGGCATGGAGATGCTAGAACAATTAAGTCTGATGACTCGTTGTTAATGACCCCCTGTGTTTCAGAGTTAGACCAGAACTGGGAAGCTGTGGACAGTAGCTTTTCGGAGGTAGGGAGGAAACATTATTACATCAATGTCTGCCATAAAGTGTGGAAGAGAGGAGGAGCTTCCAGCTGTCCAGATGGTGCTGCTGTTTGCTCTGTTGGTGAGTCTCTTTATTTGTTGGTGAGTCTTTTTATTGGTGGTGGGTTTTTTTGTAGTTTTTTTGTGTGTGTAGTTTGTTGGGTTTTTTTAAGGCTCTGAAGGCTTGGCACTTCTTTTGCAAATGGAGTTGGCCTCAGTTACTTGAGGAACCTATAGTTACAAGCACATTTTTCTGGTGCTCCCAAAGACCCTAGAAGAAATGCAAGTAACTTTTTCTAACTAAAGAACTGCAGACTTTGTAGCATGGTTTTGGTGAGGTAAAAATAAACTCCTAATGATATGTGCTCTTAAGACTTTCATTTTGGCTAGCTAACTTTACCTTAATAGTGTAAACTTCACTGTTCCAGGGAAACAGAAGTGATTTATTTACTTTCTTTACAGATAAACAAAACAACAGTAAGAATCTTGGAACATTTATGTCTTCTCCTAAAAAGGTTGGAGAAAATATTCAACTTACCTATTCAAATGGAGACATCTGTGATGGTAAACAAAAGATAAAAACTGTCATCACTCTAATTTGCAGACCAGGTGAGAATATCCACACCCTGTTCTCTGATCCAGTTAAAAATTGGAGGTCATTTAATAAGTCCAGGCATGACTGCTAAATATTAGCATGTGCCTTTGTCTTTTGTTTCATTCTATGAGAAGCTGACGCATTGTGACTTGTTTAGTAGGATGATAATAATTTAATTGCAAGTATTAAGCTCTATTCACCTGTTATACAAGTACTCTTTAAGGACCCTAGAGTAAGTTTCCAGAAGTAGGATTCTCCCAAACGTGATGAAAATGTTTAAGTGTTGAAAACTCCACAAATACCTGTAAGCTATACAAAACAGTCTTTCCCTTGATGGTCTTGATGGGAAAGACTGGTTCTGAATTGAGATTAGATACTTCAACCTTCTCTTCCAATAAGTATGTTTTGACTCTAAGCTACTTGCCGTTTATGAACAGCAGAAGCATTTGCAGAAGTAGTTAATATTGTTCATCTCCATATAATAGCCCACTAGTTTAACCATGTCCCGGGGAAGTAGAAAACCTGTATTCCTCTGCCTCAGCCTGAGGAAGCTGAATTCTCCAAGTGTTCTGGCTGTTTAGGATCAGGTGTTGCACTACTTCCTAAGAAAGCTGTTGCTTTGTAGCAAAACACCAGGTTTGTGTATCAAAGCAAACATTTTTTTTTTCAAAAAGCGTGGTAGTACTTGGGACCAGATGAGCACTGCATCTTCACTTCTGGGGAAGGGGATGCAAAGAATTTGTGCAAGGAATCTTTGGTTCTCTTTAGCCTTCATTTTCAGAGGAGAGGTACTTTAACAGTTAGTCTTGGTCTGCTGTTGGGGAGGAGTTAATTTTCCCAAGGCTTGAATTCCTAGTTGCTTTTGGCAGCCTGTCTGTATGTATAACACATTGTTCTTGTGATACCAGGTGATCTAGAAAGTGCTCCAATCCTGATGTCTGCCAGTGTATGTTCATATGCATTTGACTGGTATACTGCTGCTGCGTGTGTCCTGTCTAAAACTGAGGGTGATAACTGTCAAGTCTCTGATCCTCAGGCAGGTGTGTATTTATCTTCATCAAACTGAAAGGTCATGAGGGATAGAACTTGTCACAAGAGTCCTTCTGATGCACAAGAAGAAAGCAAGTTCGGCCGAAATCTAAGCACCCACAACATTAGAGCACAGCAATTTTAAGCATGTGCATATGGAAGATCAGAACAACATGAGCTTAATAGTCACCTAGTGTGTGTGGAGGAAAATAGGTTTAATGTGTATTTTACTGCAGCAAATCTCTCTATAGGAAAACTTGCTTTTAGTATGTCCATGTTGTTTCTGGAACAGTAATTACATAGAAGGAGACTTGTTGGGGGGGAGGTGAACTAGCTGTGTGTCTGGTAGGATCAATACACATGAGAGATGGCAGAAAAAAACATTGCACTGATAAAATTTATTCCTTCCTGATTAGGCTTCTCTTTTGATTTGTCACCTCTTGCCAAGAAAAATGGATACTACGTAGCTAATACTACTAAATACTTGTTTTACATAAACATCTGTGGCAGTGTGCCGGATGAGTTGTGTGACACAAAATCAGCAGCATGCCAAGTAACACATAGGTGAGTAATTCTGTAATAGGTCTCTTATTGCATGATGTATTCTCTGTGTACAACAGTGACCAATTTGCATGTAGAATAATTACTGTGCAGCTTTCATGTAGGTAATTTGCTTGTAAAATAATATTAGGTAATGTAGTAATTATGTTGTTGGCTGTTTCAGGTGAAGTGCACACACGTGTAGTGTTGCTTACAACTAGCTTTTGAGATTGAATGTGGCCATTACTCCCCCGTAGGTTTCCCACAGGGACTGTAAGCTGTAGATAAGTGCTTCAGCTGTATTAAGCCAACCTACAATTTGGATTCAGTCAGCTGGATTTCAAGAGCTGGCCACAAGAAGTACTGCTGTGCTTGGGATAAGCAGTGGCTGCCTTATGCAGAGGTGGTGCCAAAGATGTGTTAGAGTGCAAACACATGCGGCTGTACTTGAGTTGACGCTGAGTTACTCTCCAGCCAAAGAGATTACACTGCAGACACTAAAAATCATCTTCAGGGTAACATGGTCAGGCTAGGTCTGATAGAGCCATTGTAAAGTGAGAGTAAAGAAACCCTCCTGAACAAAGCTGGGCCTGAGCTAAGAGTATGTGAAGGCAGTTTTCTTCCCTGAGTGAGATGACTTGCAGTTGTGCAGGTAGGTCTTCACTGTCCACAAATATTTGCTTGGAAGCAGTCTGAGCTTGGCATTAGGGTGTCTACTGCTCTGGAGAATGGGAACTTGATCTTTCTGTCACTCTTCTATAGAAAGGAGTGTTAAAATTTACCTGATATCTAAGGCCTTAAGACACAACTTCTTTCCTTTCCAAAGGAGGACGCCTGTTCATGTTTTAAGTTTTCTTTTAGCAGCATTCTATTCATCCTAGCTCACTTAGGTCTAGTCATCCTTATTTAATTCTTTTGTCGTAATATGGTGTCTTCTGTAAACTTAAGTGTGTGCTTACTGCTTGTAAGACATTTCTCAGAATTAATTTTGCATTCTGTCCAGTCTCAAAGCCCACTTTTTCTTTTCTAGTAAGGGTCAGTCTTGGAGTCTTGGACTGCCCAGTTCCAAACTTTCATATTATGATGGTCTGATTCAGTTGACCTACAAAAATGGTACAGCATACAACGATGAGAAGAAAACACGACGATCTACCCATATAACTTTCCTGTGTGACCATCTGGCTGGAGTAGGTCAGCCTGAATATCAGGTGAGAAGTTCTATATGAAGGGAAGGATCTCCATCCCAAAACACTGATAGTAGTTCCTGCTAGTCCAGTGCAAGCAGAGATTCATAAATGGAAATATTCAGTATCTATAAAGCAGACTAGGAGAAATAATTATTTCTCTTGGTATATCTGTCTCTTGTTGCAACCATAAAGCTTTTATTGACCACTGAAGAGTAAGCTGTTCACCTGGATCCAGATTCATACTTCACTCGTCTCTAGACTGTGTAGTTACTAGTGCTTTTGATAATTTTGTATTTCTCACTAAAAAAAAAAAAAAAAAAAAATCAAACTGGCTTAGAGCTAATAAGTGGTAGGACTATGTTTTCTGTGACACAGCAGATGGCAGTTATATTGCCCTGGTTCTGTTACCTTTGGAAAGAGTATTTTTGGTGATGCAACAAATGACAAGGTGTACAACAAAGCAGACCTAAACAAATCAGTCTGTGAGATTATATCCCAAAACCAAGGGGAAATAAACTTAACATATAAAGGAGTATCTGTGAGTCACAAGGTATTGTGTGGAAAAGCTTCACTGACCTTTCTACTGTTTTTTAGGTAGAAGATAACTATACCTACAACTTCAGGTGGTACACTGAATATGCTTGTCCTGAAATGCCTCTGGAATGTGTTGTGACTGATCCCAACACCATGGACCAATATGACTTGTCAAGGTAGGAAAGTAACCAAAACAATGTAAGTTGGCTGTTCTAGTTTAGTGTTCTGGCTGATAGATTTGCACTGGATGAAGTTGGCTTCCTATGTAGACAGTACTAAAAACTTCATCTCTTGTGGCAATCTTAGCTACAAGTACCTTGAAATGAAGGCAGTGTTCCCCTCTAGTATATTGACTTGCCTCCTGAGACGTAAGTTGATGTTTTGGGATGGTTTGGCTTAACAAAAACTTAGTACTTTGTCAACTGTGTTCTACTTCCTAGAAGTATTCTTTTTAATATTAAACACTTAAAAATATTCAGAAAAAGTTATCCCAAAATGCTTTACGATTGCTCTATTTCTTGAGACTGACAGAGAAAGCTAGTGCGAATCTATGGGGATTGTGTTCTTAGGGCAGAACTTTTCTCTTCCTGCTCAGCTTAGCAAAATCTGAAAAGAGGGGTGAGAACTGGTATGCCATGGATAATTCAAGCCCCAATGAGCGCAAGAAGTACTACATAAATGTCTGTCGACCCCTGATTGCTGTCCCAGGATGCGACCGGCGAGCGTCTGTCTGTCAGATGGAGTATCGGCGTGATCATGTGGGTAGCCTTTCCATCCCAGCTGCTTTGCCAAGTGAGGGCTTTATGGGCTGTGCAAGATGGCCATCTGAATTCTGGCTTCTCTACACAATGGTGTTCTGTGTACCTGTAATGTTGGCACAATCGTTGCAAAATGGTAGACCTCCTGTCTCTCTTCAGAGACCAAAGCTTCAGTTTTTACATGTGTACCAATGTCATCTTTGATGTGCATAATTCCTTGTCCTGTTTTGCAGAGGCAGACGTGCTGCATCTCTTCTGTGCTGTGGTCTCAGAGACTGTTCAGCATTGCTTTAGAACAGACTGCTCTCCTGCATGTTCTGTCTTGCTTCTCTCTTGTTTTACACTGAACTTTAGAAGCAATGGGCTTTAAAGGTTCTTTGTCAACCTCCCTCTTAGCTCTCTTTTGGCTTTGAGAGGTACATTAGGCAGATGTTGCCAAACAAAAACACACAAAAAACCCCCCAACAACAACAAACAAAAAAACCCCAACCAACAAACAAACAAGCAAACAAAAACCCAACCCAAAACCCACGGGGTTGGTTTATGGGCTTCTGTATTTCTCTGAAATGTAACAATTTATCATGGCACTGTTTGTGCTGATAGGCTGGACGGATGCTTTGCCCAATGCCTGGCTTCAGTGTTACTCAAATTTACTGTAGGGAAAGTTGAACTAGAGGCTCATCAACCTGTCCTAATGCCTTCTGTAAAACAGAGAGAACAATTTCCATCCATACTGGTGAAGAGAATGTCTGAGTGACTAAACCTGTACATCACCATCATGGCACTTGAGATAAGCACAGGCAACCAGTAATTTTATCTTTGTGTTAGTCCTTATTATGTAAGGCTACTTACTGTACATGTGGGGAGACATTAGGGTTTCTTTAATTCATTGGTGAAGAAACTGGAGTAAATAGTAGGCACATTGGGTTGACCTAAATCAAGAGTTTTGGAAGTCTTTGTAGGCAGCTGCTTTGGAGCTGTATTAGTCTTTGTTTTGCTAGCTTAAAATAGTTTCTGAAAAATAAGGAACACCCATTATCTTGCAGAAGTGAAGATTAATTTTTACCTTGTTAGTAGCATCTACAGTTGTTCTAAAGCTCACTTTCTGCTAGTGTATTTTAGACTTTATTAAGCATGGCAGATCCCTAAGGTCAATTCCAAGAATGCCTGGAGGCTTCCACTTTTACTCTATTTTCAAAGAACTAGGCAAATTATATCCTGGTTGCTGCTCGTGATGCATAGACCCCCATAAATTCCTGAGCTGGAGAGATGAAGATGGCTGTTGTTGGGTGCTATGGGACATTAGTGTACTAAAAATAAAAATAACAAAAAACAAACCATGCCTTCTTGTGGAGCTTGTCTGTTAAGTATATGAAACTTCAGTACAGAATAGTGAAGTAATATGGGGACATCTCTACACCTTTGTTACCTTCAAAATTCTCAAGATAACCTTCTGTATACAAGATTCTTGTGATAGGTGTTTTTTTTTTTTTTTGCTTTTGAATGTTATCTATAACTCTTCATTGAGTTTAGAATGGCTGATATACTTTCCTTTATTTCTAGGTTTCTTACTCTGAAGTCACCTCCATTAGTAATCTTGGTGTTGCCAGCAAAGAACTAGTAGTTGAAAGACCTGGACATATTCTTCTAACTTATGCAGATGGCTCTGTGTGCATAGATGCTGATGGAAGGAAGACTACGTATAACACCACCATCCATTTCGTCTGTTCCAGAGGCACTTTTGTAAGAATAAACAATTTTTCAGTTGCTGCTTCATCATACCAAGTTTTCCATGATATAACGTGAAGTTACATGAAAGATGTGTGGGAGAATCATGAGAAGAGAGACTTCAGGACTTAAAATAGAGATGTGAAAACAAAGCTGACTTGGATGCTAGAGAAGCAGGTGTCTCACACTAACTAGTTCTTGTTTATGATGAAATATTCAAAAACTGACAGCCTCAGTGGACAGGGTTGTTTCAGATTAATCTAATTAGCATGAGAAATACAAGAGGACTTAAGACTGAGGAGTTATACATGCAAACACCACAGACCCTCGTAAGGGGAAAAACATTATAAAGTGCGTCTCAGGCTTGGCTTCTGCATCCTCTGTAGCTTATTGATTCTTGATGAGTTCCTAAGTCCATAAAGCTCTTGTTGATGCAACTCCACATACTGAAGCTTAGACTGAGGGGATAGTTATACTGAAACTTGCCTAGGCTTGTTCTTGCTCATTAGTGAATCTGCAGGTCCCCTACTCCCTTCACTAGCATGAACTTTAGCCCAAGAGGTTGACATGATGAAAATCTGTGACTTGGAGCAGTTGTGAGTTGCTTTGCTTTTGCCTGAAAACACTGAAATGAGGCGTGTATAATTAATACTCCTGTTACCTTGTTACCTCAGCTAACAGGGTTCTGTGTTGCTTGATTTTTTTTTTTTTTCTTCTTTTTTTTTTTATAGTGGAATATGCATTATACCCCAAAACTCTTCAAAGCTAAGACTGAGGAAAGGTCTGGTTCTCCATGTTGAGTTTGAGTGTTGAACTTAATCTGAATATTTAGATGTCAGATTTGGTTCTTTGCTGAAGCTTAATGACATGCCAACAGTTTAATTAGACAAAGTTGACAACGATGACCTTCAAAATAAATAAGGGAGAGGGAAGCAGGTTGGGAATTGAGTTTATTTGTAGTGAAATCTTTTAGAAGAACCTGACAGTTTCTCATATAGTGGAACCTCAAACATGGGAAGGTGTTGGCTGTTACACTTATTCTGGTCTTCTCTCTGCAATCTGTTTCCAGAGTAGCAGCCCACGGTTTATAGCTATTCAGGAGTGCATAGCCACATTCTTATGGGAAACTGAGGCTGCCTGTCCAATCAAGGAAACAAAAGATGATTCTCAGGTGAGAAAGGGGGTGATAATTGTATTCATAGTCTCAACTATTGTTTTTTTTTTTATCATCACTCCTGGTTGCTCTATTTAAATGGCTTTTGGAAAAAATTAACTACACTGAAGTATGAAGTTGATCATGATGAAGTCTTGTGATATCTTACTGCTTTCTTGAAATGCATAATTTCCCAAAGCATTCAAGTGCTCTCCAAGAGCAGCTTACTTGCTGTGACAAGGAATATTTCATTTGTTTACAAGGTTGCTAGTAAAACAGTTTATATGTAAGGTTAATTGTCCTTGTTTGTGTACAGATCATCTAATGAGGCTTTTTTTTTTTACACTGATCAACTAATTTGCTTCTAGTTTACAGGTCTCAACATAAACACTTTAGTGTGAAAACAACTCTCAGTTAGAATTTCCTTGCTGATAACTTGATAGATGTCATCTGTTAAATGACACTGATATTCTAGTGTGTGGCTGATGTCAGTGGACAACTGCAAAAGAACTGAATGAAGTGTTGCTACTGCCAGAGCTGTATTTTCCATGTCCAAATTCAGTTGCTGATTGGCATACAGCCTAGGAATAAGTGTAAATGACATTTTGGCTCCTTAAACAAGTCAGAGATAAAACTTAAACAGAAGAAACACAGAAAGAGAAAATAATGCTGTTGTAAATATATTTTTTTTTTTTTTGCAGTCCTGCTCTGTGCGAGATCCAAACACTGGCTTTCTGTTCAATCTGCAGCCATTAGCTTCTGAAAAAGGCTATATGACTACTGGCATTGGAAAGACTTTCATGGTAAGGATTATGAATGCAATCTGTTGCTTCTGGATGCTGTTGCATTTTTCTAGTCTTGATTAGTGAGCAAGTGGTGCTTTGACTCAGTCTTCTTAGGAAATTTTGGCTGGCAGGAAAGTACCATGCTTGAGAGGAGGAATGGAAGATAACTTGGTTCATCTCAGATGGTTTTAAGAGCACTGCTGGTTCTTAGCAAACATAAAGTAGCCACACTTTTGAGGCTATGTATGGTTTCCCAGTTACGGAATCTGTTGCATAATAGCAGTTTATCTGCTGGTGCTGTAGAAATGGACAGTGGAAGCTTAGAAAGGAATTTAGTCTGCCCCTATTTGTGCTCTTAATGCTACCTGCATAGGCTTAGGCTGTCCACAGCTGTTTTTTAGTCTAAGAATAAACTTGCTAAGCCAACTCCTATACTTGTAGTGGGGAGAACCTGGGGACTCTGTAAGCTGAAGATTGAGAATGTTGTTCCTGTATTATACTTAGTTGTCTTACAATTTAGAAAAGACATGTTCCATGCTGTGTGAGATAGTGCTTGGAAAGTGAGCTCTACTAATGCAGATGATATGGACCTAGTTTTTCTGATGCAGTTAATACTGTGCACACCCACATGTTTTCAAAACCTCTAGCTAAACATTTGTGGAATCATGCCAGACTGTGGTGAAATCAACGGCAAAGCAGCTGCTGGTTGTGAAGCAGAAAAGCTAACATCAGTGAGACTGGTGGAACTGGACAAAACCCTGTATCTGTCTGAAGGGTTTATTACTCTAACCTACAGAGGTCCTCTTCATGTGGAGTCAGGTGAGTCCAGGAAATACACAACAGACATGGATGGTGATAGCGTACAAACTTTCTGTGGATAGTCTTTGTTCCTCCCTTTGTGTGTGCACTAAACCCTGCTGGGCTTAGTGCTAGTCCATAGGAAGATTTTAGGAAGGAATGAAATCATGCAGAATTGCAATGGCTCAGTGGTTTTTTTTTGTTGTTTTTTTTTTTTTTCTCCCCCCCCCTTACTGAGTAGAAGGAAAAATATTGCTCCTTGCATGGAGAGATGGATACCCAAATTCAGGAAATGAGCAAAATCATTTCTAGCCTTTTTCTGTGAAGTCATTGCTTTAAGCTTCAATTTCATTAATACCTTCTTAAAGTTATTTCATATCTGAAAGGTCATTTCTCAGTAAGCTTATACTCTCTGAAGTGCAGTTTCTTGAATGAGTGCTCTAGTACCTCATTTACATCTACTTGATTAATCCTATGTGTTTTGAAGATAAGACTAATGAAAAATATATATCTCACTTTTGGATTTAGTGTGCTCTCTGAATGTAATGAAAGTGAGTGAGTTTTTGTTGAAAGGCACCTGACAACAAAAGGCTTTTGGGAAAACAGGTTTTTGGATTCAGGAGCCTCAGATGCTCCTGAATGTTTGTCTTCTGTACAAATTGCTATGGTGATATCTTATTTTCCCAGTTGTGATGTTTTTGTATCTAATATGCAATGGGAGATGTGATGGAGCTCTTGTGTATTTTGCTTTGAGAGCTTCTACCATTTTGATAACATTAGGATAGACTGACAAATACTACTCACCCCCATGGTTCTACCATTTCTTGTGGACTATGGAAAGTACTAGACAGAACTTACCATATGCTGCTTCAATAGTATAAGTATTATTTGTTCTGCAGTCATTACACTGAGCTTCTTACAAAGCCCCCAGATGAATAACTCTGCTATTTTTGATGTGATTTAGAGTTTGCTGGTACAGCTGACTTGATGTCTTATGCGTTTTCTGTTCTTCAAATATGTCATGTCAAAAACGTGGGAAACAGTTCAGTGAAGGTAGTTATGCTCTTGAAAATGTGTCAAGGCATTCTAGTCTCCAGTTTAGAGGGATGGTTGTGGCTGCTAGGCAACTTGGTACAGGTCTCTACAGAAGGCTTGTGTATTTACAGTTAAAAAAACATGAAGAATAAGGTAGTGTTTTCCTTGCAGCAGGTAGCAAAATTTTCTAACAGTTTCTTATTCAAGTCAAACGTTACCTTGAACTTAAATTCAAATATTGTAAAGTGAACCAGCAGCAGATAAGTGTTTGTTTTACAGGAGCATCAGACAAGTTCACAGTGACTTTCATTTGTAATGATTCATATCCTGGAGAGCTGAAGTTTGTACGTGAAGAGATAAACAGTGCGATGAACATCCATGATACTTTTTTTGAGTTTCACACAGCTCTGGCCTGTGCTCCTGCTCCTGTAGATTGCCAGGTTACAGGTAAGTACCTAGAATTTGGGCTATGTCCAACAAATGTTGGGAGGATTAACTGAATGGCAAATTTCTGCAGTGGAGGGCTTTAAGAATACCTGTTGTAAAGATGTTTTTAAGACCTGGAGTCTTCACAGAAGTTGTAGAGAAGGAGAGGAGGTAATCTGAAGCAGACTTAAAGGCAGCAGGCAAGAAGGTGATCTGGAACAATGGTACACACAAAAGTGGTAATTACTTTGAAAACCTCTAATCCTTATAATGATTGGGTGCTGCTTCAGCGTGACTCACAAAAAAAATGGGTTAATTTAGTATTAGTGTCTGGAAAAATGCACCTGTGAATTGTGGAGTACTTACTTGTGGGGAAATAACTGTCAAGGGAACTCTGTTCTACATTTGGTGTAGTGACACTTTTCGTGGAAACAGTACCTTCTCTCAATGAATGTCTAATGTGATTCAAAGAAATGAATTATGCATATTCATCAGTGAAACCTGTATCATTTCAAACCCAATACTGCTTCAAGTATCTAATAGATTGGCTTTCAGCTTATTATGTGCACCACATCTCTTGCAGATGCTGCTGGGAATGAGTATGATTTAAGTGACTTAAGCAAAGAGGGTGAACCATGGGTTGCTATAGACACTTCAAAAGAAGCAAAGAAGCGAACGTTTTTCTTGAATGTCTGCAAGCCTTTGCCCTATGTGCCTGCATGCCCTGGTAAGTCAAGTGGCAAGCATTTCTTAACGTGTGATATCTGATGCAAGACTTGATATACAGAACCATATCATTGGGTATGTTAGTAGGATTTTTCAACCTTGCCCATTCAGTCACTGAACTTGCATAAGCCTGAGTGAGGTATGTCAAGGATATAATAAACAGACTTACTCAAACTAAGAGCAGTCTTGATGCTCATCAGGAGGCTTGTATTGAGGTGTGTGGGAATGCATTTGGGAAAAATGCATTGGGGCAGTATTTGCAAGTATCCTTGATTTTTTTTTTTTTTTTTTTTTTATAAAAGAAGAAAGGAAAGCTAAATGAAGCCTGCTAATTGAATGAGGCCAGAATGAGAAGCACATGCCATGTCTTGTTGCACTTCTAGCCAGTCTGATTTATTTTACCTGTTGCTGTAGTCTTGTCTGTTTGTGGGAGAAGATAAGTTAGTGCTGTTTTAAAGATTTCAGTTAATGAAAGACAGTAACTTGTTCTATTCCTCAAAGGCTTCAGGCACACAGTGTTTCTAACTGTATTTATGAAAACACTTCCTTTGTGTTCTGCTTCAAGAGTGTGAGATGATCTTCTTTAATGTTCAGAGCTCTCTTAAAGCTACTCCACTACATTACAGTAAAGGTAACTCCAGTTGTCAAAGCTTTGAACCAAAACATAGCCCTCTTATTTTTCCTGTAGGTGGTGCCATAGGATCTTGTGTGAAATACACTGATACAAGCAAAAACCTTGGAGTCATTCAAATAAGCCCACAAGCTGCTACTGATGGGTCATTAAGCATTATTTACCTGAATGGTGACACGTGCAAAGATAAGCAACGTTATTCTACACGTATAATCTTCCAGTGCGATCAAACAATGGTAACTTTCTGTGCCAATTGCTATTGATGAGGATTTTAGAGTTTGGACTTACTATAACAAAACAAATGGTGTGTAGTTCCCTTGGAATTGAGAAAAAAGTCCATTTTGGGGGGCCTGGTTCTAAAAAGTAGTATCTTGTATGTGTAGGCTTTTCCCTTGTCTCTCCTGACAACTGCTTTCCTGAGCCTGTAGAGCACAACAGTGAACTTCACGAAGGAATTCTGTGAGCCACCAAAAGCAGCTGTTTGCTGAAAATGAGTACTAAAAAAAATGTTATAGTAGAGATCTTAGACTGTGTAACTGCAGCATGGAAAAGATTCTGTGTGTATGTTTTGAGACTTGCAATGTGATTGTTAGTAAGCCTCCTTTATATGGCCCTTTTCTATAGGGATCACCAGTGCTGGAGCAAGAGGATAACTGTGAGTTTGTATTTGTTTGGAGAACCTTGGCAGCTTGTCCTGTTCACAAAGCAGAAGGTAAGTGTAGTTATTTGAGCTTTAAAATATCAAACAAATCTCTGCAAGAAGTACTTGGTGCAACTGTGTTTTTGTTTCTTGCCCTGTGGGCCTTTCTGTAAAAGGTGCTTGCTTGTGGACAAATGTCTAGCTTTTAGCCAGCTAAGAGTCACACCTAACATTACAAGTACAACTTAGAATGGCAGGCAAA